TCGTAGCGAGCGTGGGTCTGGAGATCTCCTGATAGCCCCGGTCGACTATAAGAAAAGTCAACGCCCCATGGCGTCGAACGTCATGTCTTGACATCCAGTGCAACCTGTACATATATTTTAGGACTAATTTGCCCTCAATAAATGAGGTTTTTATATCTCTCAGAACAGCAACGTCTGCTGGAATGAATAATCTCTGTTGTTGCTTAAAAAGCTTGTTTTTCTGTATTTTTCTACTTTGCTAGATAAATGATTTCATGGGAAAATTCGGTCTGAAAATATAATTGTTTCGAGTATATGGCGTGGCATAAATACAGCGCACTTTTATTTTATTTTAGGTAGTATCGAGCAACGTCTGCACAAAGGAATAAGCTCTGTTGTGACGTTTTAATACTTGTTCCTCTGTATTTTTCTACTTTGCTAGATAAAATGATTTTTGTGGGAAAATTCTGTCTGAAAATGAAACTGTTTCGAGTATATGGCGTGGCATAAGTACAGCGCCCTTATTTTATATTCAGGTAGTATCAGAGCAACGTCTGCTCGAAGAAATTAACTCCGTTGATTATTTTAACGCTTGTTTTTATGTATTTTGTTACTTTGCTGGATAATTTTTTTTTGTGAAAATTCGGTCTGAAAATGTATTTTTTTTTCTCGATTACATGGCATGGCATAAATATAGTACCCCTTAGGTAATATCAGAGTAATGTCCACTAGAAGGAATAACCTCCGTTGATGATATTACGCTTTTTCCCCTATATTTTTCTAACTTGCTAGACAGTTGGATTCCGGGTAAATTTGATTAACTTGTCAGCTTTATTATATATGATATGTTGGCGGATCTCAATAAGCCACTAAGGGGCTGAATTTAAAACAGTTGCATTTGAAATTAAGACAGTTGCCTGATAATGTGTCAGCGCAGGTTGCAAACTTGCTAGCTTTGTTTTCCCCAACTTTTTTTGCACTCATAACTTCACTAAACACTACCCCGTGGGTATGTAGATTCCACTAATCACTAACCCCACCATTACGGCAGTACGTGTTTAAAAGGATCACTCAGTAGATATAGACTCAAACCCTGCCATATTTTTTAAAGGGTAGTGACTAGTGAAAATAAATCATTTTGGGGTAGAAAATAGTGGATTTTGACGGGTGGGTTGAATAAGCTTGTGATAGAGTTCATATACAAGTTATTCACATGCGAATTAATTCCCTTCTTTATTCTGTAGTGCTAATGTACATTGTAATTACTTTCCGACAACGGGTACGCACTGATGAGAGCGGTCACTTTGTGATTTGCCAAGTATTTGCGGAGGTCTGACGACGTACAAGACTTGGCAGTGTGATACTTCGCAGAACAGATTTTGCATATTCGTGATTTTTCTTTGCGCATGTATTCACGTCGATTCCTGGCACGTCGAACCTTTTTACATCCTCGATGACCAGGATTGTTTGGAGGATATACCTGACATAATTTGCTCTCGACATCGAGTTCATTTGGAATTCGAAGAGTCTCCGAATACTGCTTCACGTATGTCTTGACATGAAATACAGGGCTGTACCTAAATATTCAAAAGCATGGTGGAAATATAGTGGAATTTGTTTAGCAGTGAGCTAAACGAGGCGCATGTTTGCGTATTTGGGATACTGCTCGAGGTACGCACCTACGGCCACGCCACGATACCATGGCAAGGTAGAGAGACTCCATGGTACATTGGTCCCTAGAATGCTTGCACAACTGAAGTATGCACGTCTACCGATTACTATGTGGGCCGAATCACTGATTCAAACTACCAACATATACAATGCTATACCCACCAACGGGAAGAGCTCATCACCATTCGAGAAGTTTACAGGATACGCATTGCCGATAGGTATGTTCAGAACATTTGGGTGTCACATCGCATACAAGAACCGTGATTCAGACGGCAAAATCGACGACAAAGGGTTGGACACAACACCGGACTCGTATCGTATATACTCACCTCGGACCAAGCGTATAATATAAAGCCGAGACGTCTATATATTCGAAGATGAATTCTTTGTCCGGGAAGACAACAAATGTACAACCGCTATCGCACCACCTGACACTACGAACAGTAGTACATTCCTCCAAATCGAGAATGGCGATGTCCAAACAGACGCAAGGACAACATCGACAACGGAATATATGCTTAGCTAACAAGCCCAGCCAACTGTGACGCACAAGTCGAGCAACTCAGAGCAACTAATACTTTGTCCGGGAAGACAACAAATGTACAACCGCTATCGCACCACCTGACCCTACGAACAGTAGTACATTCCT